GAATATTTTTTTTTTAAAGTTGTTGACCTTTATTTATTTTATTTATTTGTATGTGATGTTGAGAATTGAACCCAGTGCCTCACACACACATGCTAGGCAAGTGCACTACCGCTGAGCAATAGTCCCAGCTTGGGAGGATTTTTTTTTTTAGATGTTGATGGATCTTTATTTTATTCATTTATTTATATTGTGTGCTGAGAATCAAACACAGTGCCTCACACAGGCCAGGCACTCTACCACTGAGTCCCAGCCCTGCCCAGGATGATGTCCTGAAGAGACTAAAAGCATCTTAGGAGGCTCATGGGAGGTGAGCTGTGGAAAAGAGGGAGGAGGAGGCGCAGCAGGGAGCACATGTCCCTTCATGAGGCAGGTGTGCAGCTGATAATGACAGGGAGAGGGAAGGACAAGCAGGTGAACTCATAGGGCTGTCACCAACCATGCTGGTGGGGGGAGGTGCATGACTTGGCCCTGAAGGCTGTGCAGAACCATGGGAGAGCATGCAAAGAAGCATGGCTTGAGGACTGTCTCCATTTCTGTTTGATTACCATTCTAGAACAAGGCTGGTCACCATATTTGGAGAAATTTAGCAACAATTTAGGAAAGAAAATAATTTTATTATGAAACAAGAGCTCCTGAAACAATGGCAAGGAAGAAGCTTAAAAATGAGGAACTCAACAGAAGCTGAGGACTTGGGAGGTTATGGTGGGTGGGGTGGAATAAGAACATTAAGGAAGTGACTATGAATTCTAGGTCTGCTCTGGAGAGTAGATGTAGCTACTAGATGTTGTCGATGGAAAAGCCATTCACCGATGTGAGAAGGAAGAGATGGAAGGTGGGGCATATTTTATATGGACACAGTTTGGGCAGTGAGTTCAAATGTCACATTCAAGTGCAGATGTTCAGTAGATAGTCAGGCATATGAACATGAAAAGTGAAAAAGAGGCCAAGGGAAAACAGAATTAAGGAATATCCCACATAAATGATGGCTGAGGTTAGTGAAATGGATGACCACCTAGATACACTGCAGTGTGTTAGAGGAAGAAAAATGAGTACATAATCATGAGGAGCACAGAATTTTAGGGTGATGAGACAGATATAAAGAGCTGACGAATAAACAGGAAATAAAGTTTTGGAAGAGTGTTCATCAGCTTTGTATCACTACAAACAAAATATCTGAAACAGGCTATTTATGAAGACAAGGTCTATTCAGCTCACAATTCTGAGGCTTGAGCCCAACATCAGGTAGCTCCAATGGTTTGGGCCTTTGGTGAGCACAGCATTCGTGGTGGGAATGTGTGTCAGAGCAAGTGCTCACATTTTGAACTATGAAGCAGAAAAAAGGGACAGGAAGGGTCGCTCCATTCCCTTTGAGGGCATTCCCCCAATGACCCAAGGACCTCCCACCAGTCCCATTTCTGACTAATACCACCCTGGGGACCAAGATTTTATATGGACCTGTGGGGAATGCTCATCCAAAGCACAGCAACAAGAAGACTGAAAAAGAGGCAAAGGAAGTTTTAGCAAGGACTGACAAATACCAAGTAGCTTTAAAATTATGGAAGTCAATGTGGATCTAGCCAGTGCTCTCAAGATCCACGATTTAAGGATCCTCCTGTCAAGTTATGCAACTGTGACCCCACCCACAGTTCAATGCGATTAAAATCTAATACTTGAATAAAGATTGGTGATAACTTCATCTAAAAAAAAAAGAGAAAGAAAAATTATTTTGTATGTTAACATGCCTGCTGTTTATTCTAAGTCCCTACAATAGTGAGACTTTTTCAAGCTTACAAGCATAGATTAGGGTTTTATCACGACCCCATGTTGTGTTTAAACACAGTAATGTATCAAGTTCAGTGAAAATAGCAATTGCATCACATTACCTGTTTTTGTTGAACAAATGTTAATTTGTTAATGACTACTTTTCCTGCAAATAATACAAAGTTCTGTAGTCAGAAGGTCACCTGAGTAGCCTAAAACTCTCACATTCAAACCAAACAGAGTTAGATTTTAGATGGCAAAAGGGCCATTGGTTCTGACATGCCAGCTTCTCTTAGCAATGTATAGAGAAGAATACTGTCCAGTTGAAAACTTCTTACTAAAAATTCAAAACACCAACATTGCTTCCTAAGTAAAAATCCTGATCTTGGTTTTAAAGGAAAATATTATTTGTTCCACAAATTTAAAAAAAGTTCCTAATGACCTTTAAGTTTGAGATGTGGTATACAATGAAAGAAAAACTGCTTGTACAAGCAGTAAATGATCATTTTCAGCTAACATGGATTTTGCTGGACCTGGCCAAACAGAACAGAGAGACTGAAGCAGCATGGGCAGAGGCGACTTACAGTTAAACATTACTTTCTGAGGGAGGAAAAAGAATGAAACAACTGTATGGAAAACATAAGGCAGACCCCTGGCATTTGTTTTGACTACTTAGGGTTCATCTGAAAGTTCCATACTGTACTTCATAAATGCCCCATGTCTCTCTCTCTCTCTCTCTCTCTCTCTATATATATATATATATATATATGGGAGAATCAAATGGATGGGTGTGTCCCAGGAAACATCTAAGCTAAGACGTTTTAAGATTATAAAAGGACTACTTAAACCTTTCAGTTGTATTTTACATATTTCAAGGAGAAAATTATATTTCAAGGTGAATTTTCTGAACCTGGGGTTCAAGAGGGGCTCAGAGTGTTCCTATGAGTGTCATGCATCTACTCTGCCCGAGTTTTCCTGAATTCATAGCAAAACAAGTTTCCCCAGCTGTACCTTTTATTTATACCTTAATGTTAAACTTACAAAGGAAATATCATGTTACTAAAAATCGGGAACGATGGGGTAGGAAACCGAACTCTATATTTCCACAAAAGATTACCCACCTAATTACCAAACACTTCAAAATGAAGATGATTCAACTGTGAAGTCCTTGTCTGGTGGACTCCAAGGATACCTGAAACTAAAAAATCTGAGGGGACAATGAGTAGTGGTTAAATATCCCCCCACCAAGGGCAGCCTCACTTCCACCACTCTTGTCTCTATAGCCTGCAGAGTCACAGGACTATGCTTATAATCTGGGATGAGCACTCAGTAAGATGTGCTCTCTCTGGGCAGAGTTAAGTCACAGCACATGCAGAAATCACCTCTAGAATGAAAGGGGCTCATCTGGAGAAAATGGAGTCCCATGCTCCCTAACCCTGAAAGCTGCTGTCACCGTAAGATGACAATTAGAAGCAAAAAATACCCTCACTTTTAGAGGTCAGTTTGCTGAACTTTTGTTCAGCTTCAGTTTAGATTCAGTTGCAAAATTAAATTCAATGTGGAATCAAAATATATTCCACTATTTTATCATATGGAATACTATGTATAGGAAATGACTCAATCACTTTCACTCATGAAAGCCTCTAGACTGTTCTGCAGAGGAAGAGGACAGCATAGACAGGGAAAAGCACTCCTCTGAACAATGGCTTCCTAGGTTCATCTTTCAAAACGAGGGCCAAACCATGAGTTACCGAGAACAGCTAACACACATTTCGGGAAGAGCCAACTCTGAAATGTGTAGAAGAAAAAATTTATTCAGAGATCTCTTGGATGCTTTTCTCCTCAAAAATAATGAAAGCAGGAAGAGTTCAGATGGAAATGGGGCTATTGTGGGTGAGAAATTTTTTCTGAGATAAATAGCAAGGATCTGTAAATAAATCTCTAGGATTAAACGAAGAATTTTAGAAAGACAACTTGTTTTGTGTTTGTTTCTATAAATTATACTCCATCATGTCTTAGTATTCTATAATGGTTAAGAGACGAGATTCTATGCGATAGCTCAAAAGCTAGACTGAGACCAGAGACTTCATAGTGTGCTTCTTCCACTTCTATCTTTCTGCTTCCAAAGGAGACCGATGACTATTTAAGCATGTTTGGGGACATATTCCTTGGCATCCTGTTCTGGTTGGACCTGGCTACTCAGGTGAGTCAGGATCACATTTTAACTTCCATGGGGATTCTCTTCTACCCAACACAGTTCCTGGGGTACGGACTTCACTCTAGCTCTGAGGGTTTCCACAAAAAATCCTGAGATGCGATCAAGACAAGCAGAAGTGATGGGGAAAGGACAGCGAGTGGACAGAAAGTAGCAGTGGTTTGTTTCGGTCAGGTGACCAGCAGATTTTTCAATTATTCTGTTTCCTTCATTAGCACACATGATTTGAGGCAACTAGATTTACAGTGTATTTATTTAAAATTTTATGGCCAACTGTCAATCACATTTTGAAACTACTTGATTTTGTTTGATTTTAGGCCTTGTCTCTACTTCAAGATGCTGCAGACAAAGGTGCTAGGGCGATCAAGTGCAGAGTTGACCAGTTATCTTTTGTGAGGGAATTTACCAACTTTCAATTTAATAATAAACTTTGGTTTTTTACATTGTGGGATCCTCAAATCCCTTTCCCTTTAGCTTGCTTAACTCAGGGCTGGTATTTTGACCCATTCCTGCAGAATACCTTTTCCCTACTATTTTCTTCTACTTTCAGAGCAATGGAAAATGTTTGTGCTATTCCAGTTTTCCTTTCTCAGAATTCTTCATTAATAAAGTAAGAGAAATATAGATATTCAACCCAAAATCTGCATTCTGTTGCTCCTAGCATATCATTTGCCCCCAAACAACAAAGACTGTCAAAAATGGTAATACAGCCACTATCACCTCAAAGAGACTGCTAAATTCAAATCCCTATGGCTGCTAAATGCACAAAGATGATTTCTATTGATAATCACATAGAAATTAAAAAGCAAAACTTAATAATATCACTGCACAGGGCTGAAATTTTTGCTGAAATATGTCCTCAGATACCCTTATGGCTTTGGAATTCTACCATGCTTTGAAAATCACTCATGCACGCATCTCCGCTTTAATTCTTGATTTCTAGCAAAATTTAGGAAGGAGTAAGGCTAGTGAGTATGGACCTGGTGTTATTTAAATTTCAGAAACCTCGGGGAGGTGCACTCACCGCCTCTCTAGCGGGCGCCCATCACTGGAGATGCTTCGAGGAATGTTGGCGGCTCTTTCTGGAGGAGGCATCTTCCCGTCGCCTTTCCCAGCATTTAGCCGTGAGGTCATGGGACTCTGTACCTGGGATGGGACTTGAGGGGAATGAGACCCCTTGTTGGCATTCCGCTGCCATTTGTTATTATTGCGGAAGGGAAATTTGAACTCATATGAAACACCTTCATTCATTTTGTACTCCATCACTGGCATGCGGTAGGTTTCGGAGCAGCTCCTATTAGGGGAAGGCACAGGGAGAAAAACAATTAATACTCCTTTCTTGTTGGTGGAACCACACTGATTCTCATTAACACTTAAAATGGATCCAAGACTTCATCTTCTGCCTCTGGTCCTCTTTCAGCCCTATAATTATTTTCCTTTCAAAAACCAGAAACCCAGGCAGTGCTGACCATGCTTTCCTTTACTCAATCCCAACTGTTGAGTCTCTAAACACCAAGAAGACACAAGGTCACCCTGGGAGTAGACACAGCTGTAGGAGACCTAAGGAGGACAGGGAAGCAGACCCTAAGAACACAATCTTGACAGAAACAAGCAACCAGCTCTGAACACCTTCACTGCATATCACAACTGGGGGCTTAAAAGGGGGTACCCTGAGAGAGAAGAAATTAAGTGAGGAGAAGTCTTAAAATCCAAAGCAAAAGCTAAATTTAGCTAAAGAGGGGGGGGGAAACCCAATTATAGAAATACTAAAATTATTAAATCCCTGAGGGACAAAGCATAATCTGAAATCAGACTTTATTTTTTTAAAGAAAGAAATCTCTCATAGCAAGGCCGTCCCCAGGCAGCAGCCTGAGTGAAATTAATGGCAAGCGTAAATGTTTTCCATTTTACCATTTTGTGCCACCATCTGAAACTCAAATTCTCAGGAAACGGGAGCCCATTTTCCATTCTTTATGCCAAATGATGGGGGGAGGTATTGTCGGTCATAAGCCTGATTGACAAATTCTATTCTCACTAAAGTAATACCTCAAACCATGCATTTGAATTTCATCACTAAGTGGAAAAATGACTTCCTTCTCATAGGAATGTGAAGGATTGGGAAAACGGGTGAGAGGATTTGGAAAGAAGGGTTCACAGAGCAACTGTGGAACAGCCCTTCACAAGGCACTTTAGAAGTAAGGTAGGGAGAATCCAAAACGTCACTGACGGGGAGACTAAGGGGAATGCAAACCACACAGAACAGCTGCAACTCTAATTTTAATGTTTCTAGAAGCCATATTAGAAAGTAAAACAAAACTGGTGAGATTATATATTTAATGTAGCCTGAGATATCTAAAACATCATTTTAACATGTAATCACTATTGAAAAATTACAGAAATATTGTATGCTCTTGTCTGACATGCATCCCACACTGAGCTAAACCTCAGCCACCTGCCATTTCTGCCAGTTCTGCCTGCCTTTTGTAGCAGGGGTAACCGCCCACTACCTTCCTGGTCTCTCAGTTATCTCTGCAAAACACAAGAAAGATACATGGAAGCAAAAAGGAAATAGGCACTGAAAAACAAAGACTAAAGCTGATTTTTAATGCCATACATAAATACTCCTAAAAGGATTTTCATTCTATCATTTGAAGCAAAATTTAGTGTTTAAGAATGGTAACTATAATAAAGTAGATATAACTGTAATGGTTGGACACTAATCCAGCCACATTTCAGCATCTCTGAAGTGGATACCTACTATCTTTATCCTCTCTTCATCCAAGAGGAAATGGAAGGAGGCCTGGAAGGATTAACTTGCCCCAATGTATACAGCCAGGAGGTGGCAGAGCAGGGGTTTAGACACAGAACTAGTCTTCCTGCAGGCCAGTTTTATTCTGTTCTCTTAACTGAAGAACATGGCTCCAACCCCCCAGACATTATACACCTGTAGTGACTATCACATCTTATTCAAGGCATAGCATATGGCAAAAAGGAAAATTCAACAACTTTTACAGACCAAATTGAAGATTTGTGGCAGCAAGAATGATAATTACAGTGGAAAAAGTGACAAATGGTGACTTGCTGAAACCACAAAATTAACCACTCACTGTCTTTTCAGTCTTTTTTTATTCTTTTGTTCATTTCTGATTTCTCATTACTCTCTCCTTTTTCTTAATCACTAAGAAACATGGAGAAATATTTGAACAGTGCATTGAACAGAAACATTCAACACTGGACTCTTGAGTCAGAAAAGTCTTGTCTGAGGATAGCTTGGTCTCTAGAAGCCGCATGACTTTGGCTCAAAAACAAACAAACAAAAAGTATTCAACTTCTTTCCACCCGTTTATCTAAAAAATGAGATCTGACCCAGATAAATTCTCACAACCCTTCCTGTTCTACTGCAGTTTGATTCAGCACTGTCACACCAAAAAATAAAAAAATAAAAAAAATAAATCTGTTTTTGTTTAAAAGGTTATTTGATTCCAAATCCTCAGTACCAAAAAAAGTAGTTTGGCTTTATATGTAACTTGTTTGTTTTTAGCTCTTGAATGGTCCTTGATTGCTTTCTTTAAAAACCACAGGCTAGTGGCCCTCACAGAATAAACGTTTGTGACTCCTATGCAATACCAATTGAAACATCTCAGTTTCACCTGTTAGCCAAGTTTTTTTTTTCTCTTTTTAAGAGAATGACTTTGAAAACTCAGAGGTCTTAGATGCTGATGGTCAAGAGGAGAGGGGTGACAGAGGCAGGTGAGGGGCCTCTTTCAAGCAGGACTGCTTCCCACATGCTGTGCTCCCAGCTGGTCCTGTTCACTTCTTGAACAGCTACTGCACCCTCCCAGCTGCCTCCACTTCATCATGGAAATGAAGTTGCCATGAGCCAGTTTGTATTCTCATGTAAAAATACACACTCAGGGGTCTGTATTCCAGTTGCCTTGAGGATGCCTGTGACCCCCCTCAGCTCCTGGAGGCCTGTTCTGCCTCACTCTGGAGCTGCCTTAAAGAAATGGTTGACAGAGAAGGGAGAGTGACTAGTCAAAGAACAGAGTAATTAGTTGCTAGGAAAACAGCAGTGGGAGTGTGAAGTGCGGAGGAGAAGAAAAAAATGACAGAAGAGCATTATCTTATTTTGTTGAACACTGTAACGGGTGTTAATGCTTCAATGGGTTCCCTTTGAAGCCATTTCTAAAGGGAGGAGGAGGAGCAGGCTTCCAGTCCTCCAGAGGCACCAGTGCACCATTTTCCACCTGCCTGGAGGAGCTGGCAGGGGCTTTTCTGATGGAAGCCACAGTGAAAAGGGTACAGGATGGCAGTGGCCACTGGGCCTGTGCAGAGACTGACCCTTCACCCAGCCTCTGGCCCCAGCACTTTGCTAGCACACAGTGGCAGCCTGACTGACCCTGAGAAGATGGCAGGAATGTGCTGCTGGGAGGGGAAGACAAATGCGGCTCACTTGCTCAGTGTTGGAGCCAGAAGACATGGGCCTGCAAGAGTGGGTTGTCTACCCCAGGTCTGCCTTCAGGGATGTCATGGTGGTAACCTGAAACTGGCTACAGTGGGAATATGTACACCACCGGAATCAGCAGTTTCCTCTGATTCCAGTTTATCCCTGTGTAGTGTGTAAGGCAGAGGTGGGTGAGCATACAGAGGAGCAGTTGTAAGCAAGGACTCTGAAGTTAGACCTAAGTTTGCAGATGAGCTCAGGAAATAACTGACTTTTCTGAGGCTCAGTTTCCTTTAAAACAAGAGCAACAATAATAATACTATTACCTCAGAGAATTATTTTAAGGATTCAGTGCAATTATTCATATAATAGTGATTTTTCTAGGACCTGGCACATTAAAGTAAACCGCTTAGCAAATGTCACTTTTACCAACACACCAGAGATGATAAACCTAGTCTAGCACATTGCTGTAGATAAACCACCTCTTATCATAGTTTTATCGATCCAGCACCAGACCTTCTGATCCATTTGTCTAGTAAGAACTGTTCACGATTTCAGTGTCAATATTGTTCCCCCGTCTTGCCACACTCACACCAATGTACTTCCCTCTTACGTTGCCCCATAAAATCCTGGGAGCCTAGAAATAAGGAAAAGATAGCATCACAAGGTCTATGGGCTTCATCTTTGAGAGGACCGCCTTCAGTCTACAGTTCTTTATCATGTGTAAGTAAGGTCAACAACTCACAAATCTTGTTTTCAATGGGTTCCCTTTGAAGCCATTTCTAAAGGGAGGAGGAGGAGCAGGCCAGTTTATAGCTGCCTGTTTAGAGAGACCAAGGACAGCAGACAGGCAGCAAGCAGAGGAGTGCAGGGAACTTGGAGAGTGTCCTAGGTTGAAACCCCACTGCCTCTCGGGCTACCTTGAGTCATGTTTTGTATCCTGATTTGGGAGAATACTAAATAAAAATATCTGTGTTGTGATGCTGCTGCTGCTGCTGCTGGGGATTGAACCCAGGGCGTTGTGATGCTGGGAGGTGCTCCACACCGAGCTATATCCATAATTCTTAATGTCTATGATGATGTGCTTAAGGAAACCAAAAATGGCTAACAGGTTCATCAGCTCTAGTTAAACAAAGCAGGATATGCATATAGGGCATTTTCAGAATATTCCCACTCCTAAATAAGTAAGTAAGTAAGTAAGTAAGTAAATAAATAAATAAATAAAGGTATTTTTTACTAGGGTCTTCTAAGAAATAAGCAGTATTAGGAAGTACTATTATAAGCAAAATGTGGATGTAACTGAAGTATGTTTAGGTTATCATTGCTGCTTACCTTTAAAGTACACAAATAACCTATCCCAACTGTTTACATTCTGCCATCTGATAACCATAAACTGATGTAAGAGGCACAGGGAATGGTCATTTTAGGAAGAAATATGATAAATAACTTTGTCTTGACTTTAAAAGACCTAAGAATTAATTGCCAAAGCTTAAGAGAAATTCTTAGAAAATAATGGCTAAATAAATAACAAATTGTTTAAAAAAGAGCAAAAATACCACGTGTAAGTGCAAAGAAAGAGGGAAATAAAAAAGCAGTTGAATAAATTTGTTCCATCAAGAACCCTCCCCAGAGGCAAAGAAATTAAATTTTCGACATTGCTGCTGGCTTGGCAGGAATTGGACAGGCAGGAGGGCCTGGGCTTTCCCCTTGGGAGAAGGCTGGAAACCAAACTGCTAAGGCACCAGGAGCAGCACCAGCACATCTGAAGCCAATTCCCAGCACATGCAAATACAGTCAGGAAAAAAGCCTGTAAGTCATGTTCAGCTGTCCTGGCTCAGGAAGCAGGGACCAAAACAATACTCGTGAGTTTGGAAGAGCAATGAGGTACCAATGAGCGTGTGAGTGTCATGAAACATGAAAGAGAAAATCTGATGGGCCGAAATGCTGAGCTTCTTTGAATGTGAAGTGGCCAATACTTCTCAGCTATTGGTGCAAGGTGCTTTAAATGGATATTACCAGACATCTCTGTAGCAGCAACTTTATGCATCCTGAGATGTAAATCCTAGGACTGGCCTCAGTTACTTTTTCTAGCAGCTGCTGCCACATGCTAAAAGGGAGCTGTGTGCTAAGTGTGACTTTCCATGGAAGGAACTTTTAGAATGGCATGTAATCCACTGCACTTCCCAACACCTTACTTCCATACTTTCTAGGAGATGTTCTCCGTGGTACACAAAGCCTGCTGTCAAGTCTCTGTGTCAGCTGCTAACTCAGACCTACCTCCGTGGGGTGCAGTCTTCATGGGGGGGAATGATGACAACTTTCACTGTAACGGATGTTCTCAGGAGATCAATCATCTGCTCATGGCTCAGGGTGGCCACTGCCACCTTGCAGATTTCCACCAGGCGGCTGCCCTGCCTCAGCCCTGCCTGCCAGGCATAGCCATAGGGCTCCACATCTGCCACAATGCCCTCATAGTTGACATGGAAGCCAAGCTGTCCTAGCCCATTTCTTCGCAGAGTCATTTCCACTGATTCACAACCTTTTGAAACAAACTAGACAAGGAAACCAAAGTTATTGGGGTTGACCTGGAAAAACATTGCAAGCAGGGTTATTTCTGAATACCTACTGCTGACTGAAAGGTAGGCTAGTTAATTTCCCCTTTACTAGTCTCTATTCAATAGGCCAAAAGGAGCATATTTGTTGCATCCAGAGAGCTCAATGGTTTTCCTAAAGTTACAAGGAAACTTCTAACAGAGATTTAGGAGTTAGCAGCAAAAAAAAAAAAAACTATTCTGTTACTCAACTCACTTTAGAATACTCAAGGTAGCAGATACTCAAACAAAAATCTCTTTTCAACTACTATTTGAAATTGGTTGGGATGCAATATCAGTCACGAAGGCAGTGGGATCAGCTCACATTCAAGTGAGCTTCTAACAAACACATAGTAGATGGGTCCTCTCCCCCATGTTTGGATATTTTTCCAAATAAGTGATGGGAAACACAAACTGAGATAAACTCTGTGTCACTTCACATTAACAAGGAATTCCCAGAGGTGCAAATAAGCTTCAGTAACCTGACCCTGGTCGGTACCGAAAACTTTCTGAAAGAGAAACTGCATTTGTGTGGAAGGAAAAGACTCACCTGCAGCCTTCTGACAATTTCTTTGATATCCTCATTGCTAATAAAACTTTCCACTGAAACACACTCTCCTCGCTCATAGAAGATTTTGAGGCTTGTGTCAGTGGAAGTCCACCCCAGCACGTCTCTGCAGGAACAGTTGAAAACCACACTCTTTGTTTCCTGTTCAATGAGGACGATGAATTCATTGGAGATCCCTAGGAGGCAGTCTAGTTCCATAGCCTTGGTGTAGTCTTTGGCACGGACTGCCCACACGATGGCCCCCATGCTACTGAGCTCAGCTCCTGGATATGGCTTTGACTTTTCCTTCTTCTTGGAGGCCAGAGAGATGAACGGAAACTTGCCCGAAGGGTCGATAGGGGTGTTGGTAACATTCTTTTCGGCAAGATCTTTCAGGTATTCCTGGCGGGTGCGAGTTGCCATGGCCCGAAACTTTTCTGATTTATGAGCAGCATTTTCTGCATTAATCACTTTGGCCAAAAGGAAGTCCCTGAACACATTTGACTTGGGGAAAGTGACCCCTTTAGGGATGGGAGGTCCAAAGGAAGGCACATCTCTGGACCTGGTGACAGCCACACTGAGACAAAAAAGCAAAGATCAAAGGCAAAGAGCTATGTCATTATTTCTCAGTTTCACAATATGAAAATAAAACCTATTTTCATAAAGACAGGGCTAGGGTGTAGGTGAGTAGTAGAACACTTGCCCTGGGTTTGGTCCCCTGCATTGGAGGGGGTGGGGGAAGACATACCTCAAAAGAAAAATAACTACTCACTTTCACACAGGGAACAACGTACATTTCTGCTTAGTATAAGCATACTTTTTCATACAACTATATTTAGGCTTTAGAGAACATAAATTTTTATTCAGGCAAAAAATAAGCAAACAAAAATAAAAAAACCTGAAAACTTTAAGTGATAACTTTCATTTTTTAACAGATTAGATTCATATTACACATATGTAACTCCATAAAAAATTACATAGTATTTTGCACAAAAGAATATGTCAGAGAAGGAGTTTAGAATGTACATAGTTAGACTGATCTATGACATAAAGGATATGTAAGGAGTTGAAATCAGAGATAAAATTCAGGAGATGAAAGATGACTCCAATAAAGAGATATTCTGAAAAGAAACCATGCAGAAATCCTCACAATGAAGGAAGCAATAAACCAAATTAAAAATTAAATGTAAAGTATCACCAATAGACTAGAACCCTTGGAATACAGAACCTCAGGCAATGAAGACAAAATATATAATCTAAAAATAGAGTTGACTACAGAGAGTTGATGAACAGAACTTCTAAGAATTATGCAATAACATTAAAAGACCAAATTTAAGATTTATTGGATAGATGAAGGCATGAAGATACAAACCAAAGGAATGAGCAATCTTTTCAATGAAATAATATCAGAAAATTTCCCAAACCTAAACAATAAAATGGAAAATCAAATATAAAAGGCTTACAGGACCCTAAATGTACAAAATTACAACAGGCCCACACCAAGGCACATTATAATGATAATGCCTAACATACAGAATAAGGATAGAATTTTAAAGACTGCAAGAGAAAAATATCAGATAACACAGATGGGGAAACCAATTCAGATCTCAGATGATTTCTCAACATAGACCCTCAAAGTTAGGAGATCCTAGAATAATATATATACCAAGCTCTGAAAGAAAATGGATGCCGACCAAGAATTCTATATCCAGCAAAATTAAGCTTCAGATTTGAAGATTAAATAAAATCTTTCCGTGATAAACAAAAGTTAAAAGAATTTACAACTAGAAAGCCTGAATTACAGAATATTTTGTTCTCAACAAAATATTCCATGAATATGAAATGAAAAACAAAACAAAACATAACAAAACAGTGAAAACTAGCATAGGGAGCAACTACACTAAAGGATCAATCAATCAACAGAGAAATTCAACTTAAAAATCAGAAATGAATAAAATGACCAGGAATATAAATAACCTTGAACATTAATGGCCTAAACTTATCAATTAAAAGTCATAGACAGAGCTGGGCATGGTGCACATGCCTGTAATCCCAGCAGCTTGGAAGGTCGAGACCGGAAGATTGAAAGTTCAAAGCCGGCTTTAGCAATAGCGAAGCACTAAACAACTCAATGAGACCCCATCTCTAATTGAAATACAAAATAGGGCTGTGGGGTGTGGTTCAGTGGTTGAGTGCCCCTCCTGAGTTCAATCCCTGGTACCCCCACACCAAAAAAAAAAAAAAAAAAGACTGGCAGATTAGATTTAAAAACAAGAAAAACAAGACCTAACAATATGATGTCTCCAAGAGACTCAACTCATAGGCAAAGACATCTACAGAATGAAGGTGAAAGGATGGGAAAACACGTATCACTCACATGGATCATATAAACAAGCAGGGATTTCTAGCCTCATTTTAGATAAAGTGGACTTCAAGCCAAAGCTAATCAGGACAAAAGAAGGACATTTCATACTGATTACGGGAATTACACATCAACAAGTTAGATAACAATTGTAAATATTTATGCCCTAAACATTGGAGCAACTTCAAGAATCAAATTGACCACAACACAATAATACTGGGTGATTTTAACACACCTCTCTCAACATTGGGTAGATCCTCCAAACAAAAATTAAAGAAACTATGGAACTAAATAATACAATCAATAATTTAGACTTAATAGACATATATAGAATATTTCATCCATCAATGAAAGAATACACTTTCTTCTTAGCAACATACAAATCGTTTTCTAAAATAGACCATATCTTTATGCCACAAAACAACTCTTAGCAAAAAAAAAAACATTCTTCATAGAATTAGAAAAAGCAGTCATAAAATCTCTTTGGAGAAATAAGAGACCCGGAATAGCCAAAGCCATCCTTAGCAAGAAAAGTAAAGCAGGAAGCATCACAATACCAGACCTTAAATTATACTACAGAGCTGTAGTAACAAAAATAACATGGTATTAGCACCAAAACAGATACACAAACCAATGGTACAAAAAGAAGACACCAAGACAAACCCACATAAATACAGTTATCTCATACTAGACACAAAGATGCCAGAAACATACACCAAAGATAGCATCTTTCAACAAATGGTGCTGGGGAAACTGGAAATCCATATGTAGCAAAATGAAATTAAACCCCTATCTCTCACTCTGCACAAAATTCCACTCAAAGTGGATCAAGGACTTTGGCACCAAAATAGAGACCCTGAGCCTAACAGAAGAAAAAGTAGGCTCAACTCTCCACATGTCAGCTTAGGAACTGACTTCCTTAACAAGACTCCTAAAGCGCATGAAGTAAAATCAAGAATGAACAAATGGAATGGAATCAAACTGAAAAGCTTCTTAACAGCAAAGGAAACAATCAAGGTAGCCTACAGAATGAGAGAAAATCTTTACCACCTGCACTTCAGAGACAGCATTAATCTCTAGGATATACAAAGAACTCATAAAACTTAATACCCAAAAGCCAAATAACCCAATAAATAAATGGACTAAGGAACTGAACAGACACTTCACAGAAGAAGAAATACAACCAGTCAACAAATACATGAAAAAATGTTTGACATCTCTAGCAATTAGAGAAATGCAAGTCAAACCTACACTGAGATTTCATTTGACTCCAGCCAGAATGGCAATCATCAAGAATGTAAGCAACAATGCCAGGCATGGTTGGCACATGCTTGCAATCTCAGTGGCTTGGGAGGCTGAGAAAGGAGCATCACGAGTTCAAAGGCAGCCTCAGCAAAAGTGAGGTGGTAAGCAACTCAGTGAGACCCTGTCTCTAAATAAAATACAACAAAGGGCTAGGAATGTGGCTCAGTGGTTGAGTGCCCCTGAGTTCAATCCTTGGTATGGCTCCAAAAAAGAATACAAACAACAATAAATGTTGGTGAGAATGTGGGAGAAAAGGTACACTCATACATTACTGGTGAGACTGCAGATTGCTACAACCACAATGGAAAGCTGTATGAAGATTCCTCAGAAAACTTGGAATGGAACCACTATTTGACTCAGTTATCCAACTCCTCACTTTATACCCAAAGGACTTAAAATCAGCATACTACAATGACACAGCCATATCAATGTTTATAGCAGCTTAATTCAGAATAGCCACATTATGGAACTTTCCTAGATGCCCTTCAATAGAAGAATGGACAAAGAAAATGTAGTATATATACACAATGGAATATTAGTCAATCTTAAAGAAGAATGAAATTATGGCATTTGCCAGTAAATGGATAGAGCTGGAGAATATCATGCTAAGCAAAATAAGCCAATCCCCCCAAAACCAGAGGACAAATGTTTTCTCTGATATGCAGATTCTAATTCACAATAGGGGTGAGGGAAAGAAAGAATGGAGGAAATCTGGATTAGACAGAGGGAAGGGAAGGGAAGAGAAGGGGTAAAGGGGTAGGATGGAAACTAAAATAAATTGGATATTATTAACCTATGTGCATATGTGATTACAGGACTAGTGTAATTCTACATTATGTACATACAACCAGAAGAATAAGAAATTATATCCCATTTATGTATGATGTGTCAAAATCATATATAACAGCATACATACATAAGTTATACATGATAGCATTCTACATTTATACATTCTACTGTCATGTATAACTAATCAGAACAAATTTAAAAAAAGAATAAAACCTGTTTAAAACCTGTATATAGTTTGGGTGGGGGAGGTTACTATAATCACAAAACCTTTCAGAACACAAATATGCACACTATTTCAGATATGACAACTATAGGCAAAAAGCTTATTATGAAAATGTCATAAGATGCATGATACATCAGAAATAAATTAAATTTTTAATCAAATTAAATAAATATTATTTGTTGCCCTGTGTGTGAGGCATTATGCAACCACATAAAAAGCACAATTTTAAAATAAAAATGCTGAGTAACAGAATGATTATAATCTTTATATAATGGCAACAGTGCTTTAAAATCTTATTTTTAAACTGAGCTATTCTTTGGTCCAAATTCTCTACTTTTGTATGTGATTCTGAAAATCCACTTATGAGAAACATTTTCCTTTTCCCATTCCTTTAAGCTAGATTTATATAAAAAAGACTCTTCTAGTCATCATCATCATTATATTATACATACACATACACACACACACACACACACACACACACACACACTATCAATAGCCTATTAATTTTAATCTTGAAAGGAAAAATATTAAATTTCTCCTGAAACAAATTAAGTGGAAATGGAGAGACAGAATGTTTGATATCATGTTCTAAAATTACATGTGACATTGTTGCCTGATTTTAAGAGAGTTGGAAATGATGATTCTAACTCATCAAACAACCCTCTTTCCAAATTATTTAAAAAGTCAGTTATTGAATTGCACTAAGTATTAGGGAAGTGATATAGAATCCATGTCTCTTAAACTCCCAGAACAGAAACTTCAAAGTGTGCACCTTTCAAATTAAATTGAAGAGCTCTGTTTCATGTTTTCTTTATTTTAGGAAGCATCTGCTTTAAGATATTCAAATTTTCTTTTCAAAAAATAAACATATCTTAAGAAAACAGGATAAATAAAA